TCAAATACATTTTTTCAAGTGAGTTCATGTAAATCTTTCCCATTCATTTTTATTGGCCTATTGCATTTTGTAGTCTGGATATGCCAAAACTGTTAGTCATTTCCCTACTGATGGAAATTTAAATTGTTTCCAACTTCTAACATTTACAAACAAACAAAGCTAAAATGAACAGCTTTGTAATTACAGAATTTATGTGGAATATGAATGTGAAGTTTTGAATGATAACATAGAGCTGTTAGCCAAAAGACAAAAATTAATTATTAGGAAATGCCAAAGCCTGGACATTCAGGTCAACAGATGACATGGCCTCATTCTATAAATCCTAAGATTAGGACACTCTTGGGGGCAAAAAATAGATGGATCACTGGTGTTTCAGACATGGCCCAGGAGTACAGGGAAGGTGGCTTAGAATTTTTTTATTTCCTGGATCTTAGAAAATCAGAACAACATGAAGAATCCCAAAGGATCCTTGGTGTTTGGGGCCTCTTGGGAGAAATACTGACCTTTCTGGAAAAGAATATTATGACTAATAATCTGGTAGTCCCTTTTCTAATTCTCTGTGCGAGACTACATCTGTATCCCAAGGAAAGTGGCCCAGCTCATCCAGAAGGCTTAGAGAATACAAAATGAAGGGGGCCCAAGTACAGATGAACACTTTTTTCTAAGTGTCAGTGGGGAGAATTTAAAGTGGTTCCTGAAAGCAACTCCTGAAATCATTTCATGTCTGAGGTTTCTCTTTCCATCAGTGACAGATAGCTAAATATCCTGAAAACTGAGCACAATGGACAGTTCTGTGCCCAAGCCTTACACACATTAAGACATTATTTAGTGAATCCCATAATGTACATATACTTCCAAACATCATGTTGTACATGATAAATACATACGATTTTAACTGTCAATTTTTTAAAATAAAACAACAAAACCCTAAAAAAATAAAATGCAATTATTGTATTATCCTCACCCTCAATGACAAATAGAGCAAATACAGACTTGTATTATTTGGTGACAGAGGAGTACCAACTATGTACATGAAAAATCTCAAAATACAACCTGCCGATAGAGGCCTGGTTCTCAGCTCTTCAAATCCCAGCAGAGACGAGGTAACATGTGACTCACTCACCATTCATCAGTAGAAGAGAAAAGGGAAAGGTAAAATTAAGTTATATATTTAAGTACCTTAACCCTAGTCTGGCTATTGAAATTTCCTTTTAGTTGCTAGACTAAAAACCTAGGGAAAATGTACAATTTATGTGGTAAATAGCCAATGATAAAATGGCAAATGGGGAACAAAGAAAGGGTGTAGGAGAGAAAAGAACACTAATTTTTTTCTCTATTTAACAAGTATTATTTTGCCCATTCTGTGTCTTTCTGCTGTTGTTATTGGCAGATAAAAGAATACCAAGAGAGATGAATAATATATTAATAAAGAGCCTAGCACAAAACCAATACTACAATCATTCTGCAAGTGTCGATTCTCTTGCCCTCTCCCTGCTCTTAAGGAACTTATTATCTAGCTAGGAGTTATAACATCAAGGTCAAGGGTTCAGATCCCTGTACCAGCCAGCTGCCAAAAGGGGCTGGCCAGTTAGCTCAGTTGGTTAGGAGCACAGTGTTAAAACACCAAGGTCAAGGGTTTGGATCCCAATATTGGCCAGCCACCAAAAAAAAAGAGAGAGGGAGGAAAGAAGGGAATTTACCATCTGTTTTGGGAAAGATGATATATATACATAAAATAGAAAAGTAGTTAATGCCTGAATAGAATGCATCATTATGTTAATTATTATCTTAGAATCAGACATCTGTCTGCATTTATCCTGCATCACAGATATTCAGATATTCGTTTTGATGTAAAAATTCCACATAGAATGCAGCCACCATGGAAAATATGTGATAGTTATTCAAAACCCTAAAAATAGTATTATGATATGATCCAGTAATATATGCTCTTGGATATATACTCAAAAGAATTGAAAGGAAGGTCTCAGAGAGATATTTGTACACCCATGTTCGTAGCAGCACTATTCATGATAGTCAAGAGGTGGAAGCAACAAAATGCCCATCACTGAATGAATACAGTTACATACATACAATGGAATATTACTAGCCTTGAAAACGAAGGAAATCCTGTCACATGCTACAACATGTATAAAACTTGGCAGCATTATAATAAGTGAAATAATCCAGTTACAAAAAGACAAATATTGTATGATTCCATTTATTCGAGGTATCTAAAACAGTCAAATTCATAGAAACAGAGAGCAGAATGGTAGTTTCCAAGGGCTGGGGGAGGAGGAATTGGGGAGTGGTTGCTTAATGGGTATAGAGTTTCAGTTTTACATGATGGAAGCATCCTAAGATTTGTTGCACAAAAATATGAATATACTTTAACACTATTGAACTGTACACTTAAAATGGTTAAAGTAGTAAATTTTGTTACGTGTTTTTTTTTATTTTGGAATTCCATACATCATTTCACAAATGCGAATTACACTTTGTTCAGGTTGTCTTACTCAGATGACAGTGCTTAGCTATCGGATCCAATTCACTGATTTTCTACACCTACACTTGCAAAAGGAGATGGGCTAAAAGTGAAGTCAGAGACAACCTATCACATATACCTATGGTTTTTCCCAGCCTTATGGCTGCAAAAGCGGACAGAGACGCTGGTGGCCTGAAGCACAGGTTTTCCAGGGTCAATGTGAGGACTATCTTTCAATTAAAAGTTTGCCTAGAAAAACTAGAAATCCCCTTTTGGATGTATTTGACTAAATACTCTGGAAATTTAATTTGGGTCAATGGTCTATTAATAACAGAAATTTTTCAACTGGCTTCTAATAGAAAACTTGGAATTATGAAACTGCCATTTGAATAATATTTCTGAGTCACTGTTTCTCAAAAGTAAATTTCTTATGACATTTTACCCCCCCCCAAAAAAAAAAAACTACCAAGGAATTTGAAGATTTAAAGTGGCTTTATCACAGGGTAGAAAGATTCTGAGATATATTTTAACACATTAAGTTTAATTTGAAGGAAAAACACCCAAAAGAAAATGTATTATAGAGAGCTAAAGATATGGGGCTGAAACAAGAATTCAGACCTAGAAATACCCATTTGTAAGGCAGCATGAGAGAGCTGTAAGACGGATCATTTCACTGATTTGGAAACCAAAGCAGACTAAAAACTTCTGAAGAATGATTGTTATGAGAAAGAACAGCTAGAGTAAGAGATAATTCATTAGAATTCAGAGAAAGGAGAAAAAAAGTAGGAAGGGGTTGTTGGTTTAAAGGCAAAAACTAAAAAGACATTAGAAGGAAAAATAATCAGACATTGCAGAGGTAAAAAATAAATATTCAGAGATTTTTTTAAATGTGCAATTAGTGTTTAATAATTTTGTTAAATAAAGAAGCCAGTTTTGTCCGCATGTATTTTAGAATTAGAAGAATTTCCTACCTGTGTGCTCTTGGCCAAATCACATAAATTTTCTAAGTCTCATTTTTGCCATTATCACCCTTATTCCCCTCACGGTATCATTAATCCACACTACCTTATCTGTAAGGTTGAGATAACAGTCGTAATCACCCTGCCCCTGGATGAGGATGGGAAATCAGCACAACACGGTCATTACGTGTGCGGACCATGGGTTTAGAAGGCACTGGGTGAGAGTCCTGGCTCCACATTTACTAGCTGTGGGATTTGAAACAATTTATCAACCTCTGCAAACCTATTTCCTTATCTGCAAAATGGGGATAGAGATAGTACCTACCTCAAGGGCTATTACAGGAATCAAAGAAAATAATGACAAGGTTTGGCGTATAATAAGTTCTCAATTAATGATAGTCATTATTATTATAATGGTTATAACCAAATAAAGCAACATATGTGAAAATACATTTTAAATTATAAGAGGGTAAAAATGCTTGTTATTCTTTTCTGTTTTCCAAAGTCAGAAAGGAACTGATCTTTCACATGAGAAGAGTTATCTACTCTTTTGAACAGAGGTATGAGAAGATGAGTTTAGAAACAAATTTCTGGAAGAAGAAAGGTAGAAAGGTGGAAGAAGAAATACAATTTAACTTAAAAGTTACCTTAAAAGAAAAATTTAACTTAAATTTAAGATTTAAGTTAAATTTTATTATAAGAGCTATGTAAATATTCAGAAATCTGCTCCTCATTTATATGATAAAAAATAATTACTCAAATCCTCAAAGCATGGTGTAAATAGCCCCCCATTCATTCAAGTTCTTCATTAGAAATTTCTAAATGAGGCTTGCAACTTTTGATTTCAATTTTATCTTTATAGCTAGAGCAAAATTAAATACTTATTAATAAACATTGATCTGGAAGAAAAATGATTACAGGAATTGGAGAGATACCATCTCTTCCTCTGCTGAAACCATCTACGACAGAGGAACTGGAACCTGAGGGAAAGCAGACACTGGCAGCAGATATTTGGAGATTGATTATGTCAGTTATCATGACCCACAAATTCAAAAACTAGAAGGGATGTTGGAGAATCTTTGGTTGCCACAGTTCTAATGGCATTGCTGATTCCCTCCTAAAGACTCCTCAACTGTGAGCTAGCCTATTTTCATCTCCCACTGAGACCAAGAGAATAATGGAAATGAGACATCACTGCCTAATTAGTGGATACAAGGCAAGAGCAAAATAGAGGTATGTTCAAAGTGAAAAAAAAAAAACAGAAAATGGAGAAAATATTAGCTTAGCCATTGGTTTAGAGGTAGGCTTGGAAAAATACATAAAAATTCTGAAAGGGAGCCATAGAGAAAATCCTCCTACATGGGAATTCCAGAAAATAGTTCTCATGAGAAACCAGCTCATATCCAACCGAAAATCTCATTTGAGTCAGATGGACAGAAAAAAGACACATGATCCTATTCAACAAGGAAAACAGCCTCTCCTCAATGTTCCTGAGCTCCTCTTCCATCTCCATCATTGACTTCTTTTCTTTGTACCTTCATAGGCACCAAAGGTAAGAAATGAAAAACCAAACCCTTCTGACAGAGTTCATTCTGCTGGGACTAACAGACATTCCAGAGATTCAAGCTGTAATTTTTATACTTCTCCTCCTCACCTACATATTCAGCATTTTTGGAAATCTGGTCATCATCACACTCACATTACTGGACTTCCACCTCCAGACTCCCATGTATTTCTTCCTCCGGAACTTCTCCTTCTTGGAAATTTTCTTTACAACCACCTTTACTCCAAGGCTGCTGTTCAGCATCTCATTTAGAAATAAAACCATCAGCTTTGCTGGATGCTTAACTCAGTATTTCTTTGCCATATTCCTCGGGGCCACAGAGTTTTACCTTCTGGCTGCTATGTCCTATGACCGCTACGTGGCCATCTGCAAACCCCTGTATTACACCACCATCATGAGCAAAAGGGTCTGTATCCAGCTGGTTCTCTGCTCTTGGTTGGGTGGATTCCTAATCATCATATCCCCAATCATCCTGACCAGTCAGCTGGACTTCTGTGACTCCAATGTGCTGAATCATTATTACTGTGACCATGGACCCCTCGTAGAAATATCCTGCTCAGACACAAGTCTACTGGAAATGGTTGAATTTATCTCAGCAATAGTGACCTTGGTGTTTACCCTGGTGCTGGTGATTCTCTCCTATACAAACATAATCAGGACCATTCTGAAGCTCCCCTCTGCTCAGCAAAGGAAAAAGGCCTTTTCCACATGTTCTTCCCACATGATTGTCATCTCTCTCTCTTATGGCAGCTGTATTTTCATGTACGTAAGACCTTCAGCAAAAGAAGGAGTTGCTTTCAATAAGGGAGTAGCTGTGCTCAATACCTCAGTTGCCCCTTTTCTGAACCCATTCATTTATACTCTAAGGAATAAACAAGTAAAACAAGCCTTCAAGGATATGGCCAGAAAGATTGTGAGTCATTAGTGAATTTAATGACCTCAAACTCAATGGAAATTCTGCATAATATTCATGAAGTTCCTCCCCACAAAAACTCAGGTAGAGCTTCTCAAATCCTCTCCTTTTTAAAGCAACATATCAGATGAATTTATCATAAAGAGGTGTCAAAGTTACGTTTCAAATTTGCCAATGAGAAGAAAATATTCCCAGAAGACAGTTAAAATATTTCTTTCTAATAGATAGATTTTTGAGCAAGATATTTGAAAAATATGAAAAAAATATAAAATAATACCACTCTTCGGACAACTTTTTAAAAAATAGTTATTGAAAATAAAAATACATGTATTTTTATGCTAAAGGAAAATGTGTTTCTTATAGTTATTTTAAAACAAATTAACTTATAGACTTTTTAAGTTCTCAGTTTTAATTTCTAATATGCTAAAAACAGGTATAACTATAGCCCCTTAGTAGACAGATTTTTCCAGGGGGGAAAATGTGGCTAGATAACATGGTTAGTCTGAGTACAAGAGCAGAATATCTGACAGAAAATTACCATAATTCTCACTGATGGTTCTGGGCATACTGGTAACGTTTAGCTTTACAAATGGACTCTTAATTCTATTAGCATCTTTTAAAAAAAATGTACAGGGCCGGCCCGGTGGCGCACTGGAGAGTGCGCCGCTTGGGAGCGCGGTGGCACTCCCGCCGAAGGTTTGGATCCCATGTGGAGACCGGTTCCCGCTCACTGGCTGAGCGTGGTGCGGGTCCGACACCGAGGGTTGCGATCCCATTGCCGGTCCCCCGTACGGGCGCAACACCGAGGGTTGCGATCCCGTTACCGGTCAGTAAAAAAGACAAAAAGGAAAAAAAATGTTCAAATTTTTTATTGGACTTCCCAAAAGGAGCCGGTAATTACTTCTTCCAATAAAACTCTACTCTTCCATTAAAGACCATCTTTTCTCAAGTTTGAGACTATTTTCTTTCTCACTCTGACAACTTTAAAACTGTTTCTTCTTTAGATACTTATTACAAAAAGGAGTTCCAGTTACAGCATTGATATTTCTGACTCTATCTCTCTTAGTCATGAAACAGGAATGAAAACTATTACTAGGGGTATCCCTAAAAGAATGAGTATCCAATATCCTTTTAAGGAAAGATTCAGGAGAGCAGGAATCTTGGGCCCCATCGGCAATGACCAAAAGCTGTAGGACTCTGTGAGTGTACCTGAGCTTTATGGGACATAATTTGGAAATAAACCAGAAAAGGCTGAGAGTAAAAGTCTCTCTAATGATACCTTAGTAAATAGCATCCAAAATGTTTAAGGATTGTTTTTTAAAGGGTAATAAAAGGGGGGAATACAAGAAAATCTATAAAATTGTAAGGTGTTCACATTCTGTTTAAAGTGATAAAATGTTGATTCTAAGTGGACTGTTAAAAGTTAAGAGGGCTTTTTTTTCTTTTGGCAAGATGGCTGACCAGAGGCAGCCAGCCTGGGCCTCTAATGCAAAGAAAGTCCAAAGCAACAAGGATATAGTCGCCTGTACTGTAGGATGTCTAGGTGAAAATGATGAAATCCAGCAAAATAGTGAAGAAGACCCCTCCAAGATCTGGAAACTTGAAACAGAAACATAGAAAAACAAAGGAAACACCCAACCAAGACTGGGGAGGGGCGTGGAAGACTCCGTACTCCTGGGACAAAGTACGCTGGGGTCTGCAGTCGGCACTACCACCATAGACACCTGCAATTCAAGCCGCAACCTAACTTCATGGCCCTTGTGGGCAGTGAGCCCAGTGTGGGGAGCTGCTAGGAGGCCACGTGACTGCAATTTTTCAGAGGGGAAGTGTATGATGAGTCCCCCACCTGCCTCAGTCCTGGGCTACTGCTAGACATCACCATTTTGGGATAGGAGCCAGGACACACAGACTCACCCAATTCTGCCAGAGCCTCCCACCCTAGCAAAGAGGGTGTGAGGAGTGCACTGGGCCTTCCCAGGTGCACACAACTCCACACATCCCCGGTAAACTTGCTTAGATCCACACCCTCTTTCCTTTGCTCCAGGAACTCAGAGACCCACCCAGCTCAGTGAGCCCACTGAAGCATGCCACCCCGGCAAAGAGGGTGCAGGGAGTATGCCAGTCCCTTCCAGGTACATACAGTCTCATGCATCTCTGGTAAACTTGCCTAGATCCATGCTCACCTCCCCTCAAAAACTCAGAAACCCTCCCAATCCAATGAGCCCACTGGAGTATCCTACACCAGTAGAGAGGGTGCAGGGAAAGTGCCAACCTCTCCAGAGTGCACACAGTCTTGCATGTCTTTGGTAAACTTGCCTGGATCCACATACTCCAGTGTGGAAGCTTCAGAGAGCCCACACAACTTGCTTAGGGACACAAACAAGTGCCCAAGAACTTCTCCCAGGGATGTGCAACCCTCTCAGTACCCTGGCAACTCTATCTACATTATCAGAGGAACAGCCCATTGCCACAACACCTACCCCAGACCTCATACAGGGTCACTCACCTCAGCTTAGGAAGAACTGAATGCACCATCCCACCCCCAAGGTACTTGAGGCCCTACTCATGGCCATTCCAGTGTCACCCACCCCAATAAAAACTGCCAAGGGCCCACCACCTAGGCTATGAAGGCATCCACAGATAGCTCCAAGGTTGAGTACAATCAGAGAAATGACCCAAAGACTACATTACCATGCTCACCCAGAACCAAACCTAAAATGTCCAGCCTAACTACCAATATAAAACACTTCTACAGGTATATGGATTGAATTATGTCCCCCAAAGTCCGTTTATTAGGAACTTAACTACCACTGTGACAGTGTTAAGAGGGTGGGAAATCCTATTATGGTAATTGAAATGTGGAAGCTTGAAGAGGTGATTAGATTGTGAGGACCATGCCCTAGTAAACAGATTAATAAGTTGATGGTTTAGTGATGGTTACAGGTATGGTTCTGATGGCTTTAAAAGGAGGAGTGAGGAGTTAGCTCTCTCTCTGCTTCTGCGATCTGCCATGTGACACCCTGCTTTGCTGTGAAGTCACTACCCATCAACAAGGCTGTCACCAGTTGTGTTCCCTGGACATTGGGCTTCCCAGCCTTTGACGCTGTAAGCAATAAATATTGTTTCCTTATAAATTATCCAGTTTGGGGTATTTTGTGATAAGCAACAGAAACGGACTAATACGATATGTAAGAGTTTCTCCCTTCAAAACTACTCCAAAAATTAGAAGTGACCACACCACCAGAGGCCCAGACACCAATGCAGAGATACAAGATGAGGGGGAAAAAAAGGAAAAATGAAAATAACACTCCTAAAGGAAGACAATAATCCTCCAGTACCAGACCCCAAATGACAGGTAACCTATGCAATGCCCGAAGAGGAATTCCAACTGGTAATCTTAAGGACACTCAACATGATGCAAGAAAATATAGATAGAAAATACAATGAAGTCAGAAAAACTATTGAAACTTGAAGGAGAAATTAAAAAAAGAGATACATATCACAAAAATAAAAGCAGAAACCCTGGAACTGAAGAATTTGTTCAGTGAAATAAAAAGTACAACCAAGAGCTTAAGCAACAGGGTAAAACAATCAGAGGAAAGAATTTTTGAACCTGAAGACAGGATTTTTTAATTAACCCAGTTGGATCCCCAAAAAAAAGAAGAAGAATTTAGAAAATTAAAGAAAGCCTACAAGATCTATTGGACAGCCTTCAGATAAAATATCTGGATTAGAGGTGTACCAGAAAGGAAGAGAAAGCAAAAGGCATTGAAAGCCTGTTTAATGAAATAATAGCTTAAAATGTCCCTAGTATTCATAGAGATATGGTCTCCGAGACACAAGAAGCTCAAAGGTCCCCAAACAGATTCAATCCAAAGAG